CCCCCCCCCCCCCCCCCGTATTCTGCCTTAAGCTAATAAAAAATTTAAACCTGGACATTTTCAACGATTCATCCTTTATCTCTGACAAATATCTGACTCTGTGTTTCAGAGGAGGACATGAGCAGCTGAATTTAAATCAGTTTATTTTGAAATCTCACCTTTTATTAAAAGTGGAAGGGGGCACACCCTGCCCCTTATCGCATTGTTTCAGATACACAGAACTGAAGAGGCGGGATCACAAAGTGGTTTGGAGTCAAACAGATCCAGACTCCTGGCTCCACCTATGGCTGCTGTGTGACGCTGGGCAAGCGACTGGCCCTCTCTGAGCCTTGGCGTTCTCTGTCAAGTGAGCACGTGATAAAGGAATTAAGAAAACTGTACGGCCAGCGTTTAGCTTGCGTTGTCATCATCATCCATGTGGCCCGAAGCCTGAAAACACTCTGATCTGACCAAACCACCTGGCAAGGGTTTTCATCACTCTTGAGAGACAGACGGCATGTTCCGGAGATACCCTGGGCCTCTTGTGGAAGCCACTGTCCAGCCCGGCTGGCCTGGCCAAGCCAGGAGAGCTGACTGGAGAGGGAAAGTGGTTCCCTCCTGCCCCTCTCACCCCGCAGGCCTGCTACGCGACCACACCAATGTGGGGAGGCCCTGGACTCTGACAGGGGTGTGAACTACGGCAGCCAGGTTGAGTGAAGCCAAGGTCCAGTCCAGCACAAAGGCTGCTTGCTCTCCTGTGAATCCAGACCTTCCTGGCATTCGGCTCACGTGCCAAGCTGTGATTGCTGCTTTCTGGTCGAAGCCAGAGGAGGAGACCATACTTGGATGGGTGTTGGAAGGGCATTCAGGATGGATTTGAGGGACACCAAAGAGCTTCATTCACGTTGACCTAAGCAGAGGTGTGTGTCCCCTCGTACGCCTCTACCAGCAGCCCGGCTGACGGGACAGTGAGGGCGCTGGCCTAGAATCTCTGCTTGTCACTCCCTGGCCAGGTCACGTGGTTGCCTCTCTCTCCTTCACAGCGATGCCCAGTGCTCACCTAGCACTCGGGAAGTGCCTCTACCTGGCAGTGTGGGTGGGTGGGTGGGTGGGTGGGTGGGTGGATGGATGGATGGATGGACAGACAGACGGACGGATGGACTAATGACAGTCCCATCCTCTGTAAAATCAGCACAGTGATACACCTCCCTGCTAGGCTGTTGGGAGGGGTGGAAATAATCCATGTAAAGCCCCTGGCACAGTGGATATTATTTTACACATTTTTCCAAGACTCCTTCCTGCTCCTATGTACCCAACACCCTCACCCCCAAATGTGGTCCCACTCTGCAGCCTCAACGTCTCAGAGGATAGATGGGGAACCTCAGGGGACACTTTTATACCGTAGCCCCAAGCTGATGAAAGGGACAGGTGCTGAGCTGGGGCTCCAGAAAGGTGGGTGACATGGATGGGGGCTGCCTCATCTCCCCAGCACACTGGCTTCCAGACATTTGACTGCAAACCTCCATCGCACTAATGTTGTGCCCCATGTGGGGATAAAGAGAAGAAGGAGCCAGGCCCCTGCCCTTGAGGAACTCGACTTAGAAACAGAACTGCAAGAGGTTAAATGGTATGGATGAAGTGCTAAAACATTCAGCCCAAGGGGAAGCTAGCTTCATCTAAGGGGAAAGCTCCAGCTGGGGATTCCAGGGAGACTTTCTAGAGGGCCCGTTGAGCCAAGTCTTCAAGACCTCAGTCGGTGCAGGAGGCAGAGCAGGAAAAGATGTCAGGGAGGTCTGCGGGGCGTGTAGGGGGGCGGCAGGAGGAGGCTGCAGGGGTGGACAGGCTCAGGCGGACAGCGTGGTGTCTATCCTGCCTGCAGCTGGCGCTGGGCACTGCCTCCCTGCAGCCCTCACCCCTGCCCACCCAGCACATTCCAGAGCTCCCCAGAGTGGAGCAGGAGGCCACCCTCCTCTCCACCCTCCACCCCTCCTCACCTGCTCAGGAGAGCCGTCCGGTGCTGGATTTAAACAGTTGAGTAAATCATCCTGTGAATACCTGGATGTTATTATTCTTAACACTTACTGGGTCTACTCACCACACAACCAGCTGCCTCAGAATTGCTCTGCAGTGTCGTAGATTTGCAGGTGTCCAGCGGGAGAGTGACAAGGTTGAGTTGGTGAATCAGAGCAGGATTCCAGTGGCTGTGTGGGGTGGCCCGTCTGTGCCTTGTTTTATGTCCCAGTGGGTGTGACAGGAGCTGGGTGGCCTCGTTTCTGTGAATCACATCTTCTTGCCCTCTGTCCTGAGTCCGGAGGAGAACACCCCACCTAGGCTGATGCTATCTCTGGTCTGGGAAGGACAAGTCCCTGACACCCAGGCAGGCAGCCTGGGCAAGGCGAAGAGCCCAGCGACCCGCCACCTTCCTGCATGTGGCCCTGGGCAAGTGGCTTCCCCTCTGGGAGCCTCGGTCTCCACCTCAGTATGAGGACAAACCGCTTAGCCTGCCTAACTTCCAAGGATGACGCAAGGAGTGAGGGGGTTTGGGTGTGTGAGTGCCGGGGAGCTCTGCAGCTCTGGGAGCCAGCCCCGGGTTCTCCTTTTAAAAGAATAGCATATTCTTGGTGACAACTGCCTTAGCACTGGCGATGGCAAATCACAGCCCAGCCTGCTCTCCTGGTCCACCAGGAATAGCTGCTGTCCGTCACGGACCCTCCGGTGTGGTTCCCATTCACTCTTATGGACACGGTGCCCTTTTATGAAAGGAAAGCTGGAAAGAAGTGCATCAGAAAGCAGAGAAAGGAGGGGTGCCTAGGTGGCTCAGTCCGTTAAGCCTCCGACTTTGGCTCAGGTCATGATCTCGTGGTTTACGGGTTCGAGCCTCGCGTCGGGCTCTGTGCTGACAGCTCAGAGCCTGGAGCCTGCTTCAGATTCTGTGTCTGCCTCTCTCTCTCTGCCCCTCCCCTGCTCATGCTGTCTCTGACAGCATTAAATCAAATTTTAAAAATTAAATTAATTAAATTAAATTAATTAAATTAAATTAAAAAAAAAAAAAAAAGCAGAGAAAGGAGCCAGCTCTGGCTGGGGGTGTTGGAGAGGAGACTGCCCCCCACCCAGGCACCCCTATGCTTCCTGCTCCATCGTCCCCCGAACTTCACCTCTGCCCCCCTCACTGGTATCTGAGCATGCCCAGCCCGGTGTGTAGGCCCGAGCAGCAGCTGTGGGGCCCAGATGTGACCCCGGGTCTGTCCGGCCCAGCTCCCCCTCTCCCAGGCCCGCACCTCTCCCGGGCCCTGGTCAGTGTATAATTCATGGCAGCCACGCGGACTTTCTCGGGGCTGTGTAGTGTTTGTGTTTATAGAGGTAGAGCTCACAGGTGGCTGACAAGGGAGATGTATTTTTTATAACAATGAATATTTAATTTCCACATCACAGATGAAAAAGACTCTCTGAAGAGGCATGTGAGGGAGACTCCAGAGAGCAGCCGCTAATCAGAAAAGGGCCTTCTAGCCAGTGCCCCTCCACGTGGCTCACTTTCTTCTTTAACCTTCTATTTTTATTTTTCCCTGATTATTGAAGTAGGTATGCACATTGAAGAAAGTGTAGAAGACACAGAAAAATAAAAAGAGGCAGTGTGTGTGTGGGGGGGGGGGGTTCGCCCCTAATCCCGCTAGATTTTGTGGACATTTAGGTACATCCCTTTCCAGTCTTTTTTCTGTGCGTTTTCCCGTAAGTAGCTGCGAGAGAACGCAGTGTAATTACAATTCTGCATCCTGGCTTTTAGATTCTTCTTTCTTAGGCACACTATAGTTGATGGGTGGGTAATATTCAGCCAAATGTACCATAATTCACTCCAGCAGACTCCTATTGCTGGAAGTTTAAGATGTCCCGTGTTTTGATATCCTCAGCATGGCAGCAGTGAATGTCTTTGTGTCTCCTTCTTTGCTACATTTAGGGTTTTCTAGACAGACGTGGGGTTGCGAGGTCATAGGTGGCTGGATCCGTGTTTAAGGCTCTCGACACCTATGGCAAACTCATGGTTTCTTTTCTGTTCGGGACCAGCTTCCTCACCTTGGGGGACCGGTCAGGCCTCCAGCGCCCTCTGGCCTTCTCCAGGGAGCCTCTACCCCAGGTTGGCAGGGGGAGGCGGGGCCAGGCGCCGAACGCAGAACCCCCCTTCCCACCGGCCACATGGAGTTCTGAGGGTGCCTCCTAACTGCCTCTTCTCTCTTGTCTTCCTCTGCCCCAGCCTGGTAAAGCCCTTGCGACACTATGCGGTCTTCCTCTCCGAAGACTCCTCTGACGATGAATGCCAGCGGGAAGAGGGCCCGAGCTCTGGCTTCACCGAAAGCTTTTTCTTCTCCGCTCCCTTTGAATGGTCTCTCCTTCCTTCTTCCATTTCCCTGAGCTCTGCTTGGTGACTCTCCTGGGCCGCGTGGGGGAGGGGGCCGGTGCTGCTTGCCCTTGTGTGCAGGGAGGGCTGTCTGGAGCCACTGCCTTCCGGTGCCCCTGTGCCACCGCGCAGGGTGAGTGAGTGTCCCCCGTGTGTGCCTCTGCCCAGGGTGTTCATTCTGCCAGCCCCGTGGGCTCTGTGGTGAGGAGTGAGGTGACGGGGGGGTGGCAGGGCCGACAGGTGTGAGATGGGAGCACGAGTCTCTGTCCCTTACCCAGGAGACTGCACTTGACCGTTAATGGAAGTGGTTGTGGATGCCTGGGTCCTCCTCCAGCTCAGCACATCTCGGAAAACTACGGAGACGGAGGGTCAGATTTTAACTTTAAAAGAAAAAACACGTATTGATATGGAGCGTATATGTTATTGCTGACAGATCCAAATGTTGTATCGATCTGCCTGACTTTAAGATAATTTATATCATCGCTGTTTATCAAGCCTGTGCCTCATGCTAATTATAAATTGCAACTTAGAAAGAAAAAAGAAGGTTCGCCCACAATCCAGCCACCTCCCAATGTTAAGCTTTGGTAGTTACCCCTTCTTTACCAGTTCTTGCCCTTCTACCCACAAGTTTTTCCCAGCTGGGCTCAAGCAGAGGGACAGCTTTTGTCTGCGTTTGTTAACGAAGTTGTAATGTTTTTAATGGGAGCCTTTTAGACAAGGGAGCTGCCCTTTGCTGAACACCCACGGGGCCACAACCAGCCTCTAGGGAGTGAGCTATTAAAACCATCTTAGGGAAGAGGGGATTCTTCCCCTCCACCCCGTCCCAGCCCCTTCCCCTGAGCCAGGCCTGTGAGCCGCTCAGGGCACCTGATAAACCCATCACTTCTGCTCCTACCATCGCCCCCTGGGGTAGCAGGGTTCTGCCACCAGCTCACCTGTGACCACAGGCAAGTCAGTCCCCTCCCGTTGTCCTCACTTAGAAAGTGGTGGCCTAAGTCAGTGTTGCCCGAGTTTCACAGGCCACCTTTTCTGTACCTTGAATCTTTTTCTTTAAAATTTTTCTGTCAAAACTTCAAAAAATTAACCTTCTCCTCAGCAATAATATCTCTAATATCATAGGCCTATTGTGTCAATTATTATCTCTACTGTTAGTTAAAATAAAGGTAGAACCATTGGAATAAGACCTGTTCATCCACATAATCAACTCAAAATCACCTTGCAGATAAAAACGCCCTGCCTGAGTGATGTCCAAGGACCCCCCAACACAGAGTGCGGGGGTCTCGTTCTTTTTAAATTAATTGATGCCTTAATTATTTAAATAGTGAATAGCGCTCACTCCTTTGGCCATGACCTAAGAAAAGTAGAGGTTCTTGTGTGTGGTGTGTGTTATTAAACAGGAACTGGCTCATAAGTTAACTATACTGGAGTAAAAATAAATAAAAATAAGTCACACAGGAAAGGCAAGGAACTGGCCCATCGCAAGTCCAAATAAAATGGTTTCTTTTTAAAGAATACTATTTCCTTCCTTAAGTGTAAGGAGCACATTGACTTTTCTTTACCCCTTGGTTGTGTTCAAGCTTGGTTAAAAGGTCTTTAATTCCTTGGTCAGATGGCTCAGAGTCAGTGGAAACTTTTGAAGTCTCTCCAACTCGGCATCCATTGCTACCTTTTGTTCTGTGACCTAGGGTGAGTTACTTAGCCTCTCTGAACTTCAGCAAGATACTAAAGGCTGATGGAGTCCTGACTGCTGAGCCCTCTCTCTGCTGTCGGTTCCCTACCCTGGTTCCTGCAAGTGTGACTTTGGGACCAGCAGGTGGCGCCCTTCCCCCACTTTACCAGAGCCGTGAGCAGTTTCTGCTGAGACACAGGGGACAGAGCCAGCCCTAGCCTCTGTCCTGGTCTTCACTAGAGTCAAGTCAGGGTTTATCCAGGCACCGTTCTCCGTGTACCCAGTGGTGCCCTGGGGGCTGAGGCTTGTGAAAAAGGAAAGTTAGAGAAACCTTTCGTCACCTATGCCTGAGTCAAACGTACAGAAGGCTGTTAACAGCCTCTGTGCCTGCCATTTGCCAGGCACCGTGGTAGGTAGTTCACATAACCACCACCACCACCAGCAAGGGAGATACACTCTGGAATGGGGAAGAGGCTGAGGTTCAGAGAGGTTAACAGACTTGCCCAAGGTCCCACAGCAAGTGATGGCAAGACCAGAGCTAGAACAGAGGTCAGCACAGGCTGAGGCCCAGACAGTTATTCCTGAGGGTCCTGAGGCGTGCTGGGTAGTTACCCGGGGGGAGAATGTCTCCCAGCTCAGTTCCCCATGAGCCACGGGGAGGTGGGAGGGCAGAGACTGGGCTCAGGAATGGGCAGGCTGCCTGTTCCCTTTCTAATCACATCCCGTTCCTCATGCCTCATCTGGATGGCTTGCAAGCCGCCTCCCCAGTCATATGGTGGGTCCTGTGGTTTTCAGAGGAACTAAATGGGTCCCCTTAGTGCAAATTAGAGCCAAAGCAATTTGCCCAGGGTCCCACAATAAACAACAGAACCCAAATCCAGCCCCAGGTCTGTCAGATTGCCAGTGCCAGACTCCGGCACTCACGGGGACCCCAGGACACTCACCTGTCCCCAGGCCTCCCGGGTGTACTCTTCCTGGGGGTGGGGGCTGCTGGCTCCTCCCGTGGAGGCTCTGGGCGGGAGGATCCAGCCTGCTCTGCCTCCTCCCAGGCCTCAGCCATATCGGACACTCAAGGAGTCAGACAGCGCAGAAGGTGACGAGGCAGAGAGCCCAGAGCAGCGAGTGCGGGAGCCCACAGGCCCTGCCCCAGCTCCACCTGACCGAGCTGCCAGCATCGACCTCCTGGAAGACGTCTTCAACAACCTGGACATGGATGTCCCACTGCAGCCACTGGGCCAGGCCAAGAGCTTGGAGGACCTTCGGACCCCCAAAGACCTGAGGGAGCAGCCAGGAACCTTTGACTATCAGGTATGATACCGGGGTGGGGTGGGTACCTGTCAGGGCCGGTGCCTTCCACACACGAGGCAGATACCCCCGTGTGACAGCGAAGGAGACCAAGGGAGAAACAGTGACTTTTCCAGGGTCCTCAGCCGATGCTCAGGGTCAGTCTGACTGCAAACCCTGCCGGGCGGGCCAACAGCCGGGCCAACAGCCAGACAGTGAGCCACCCTCACAGCGATCACCGTAGAAGTTGCTACACCTGGTGGAAATCCACCCCTCACTTCCATTTGTGCATCAGACAGGGGTGTGCTGGTGCTCCACTCTCCCAGGACCCCAGCCCCACCCCCAGGCGGGGCTTTGACCCCTGATCCAAGTGGGCGTGCTCCCGTGCCCATCAAGTCTCCTTGGAGAACCTTTGGATCAGAAATCCTGGATTCCGGATTATTTGCTTGGGACCGCTGATCCGCCATCGCGACTTATCCCCTCTCTGCGCCTGTCTCCCCACTTGAAGTGGAGGCTGCTGAGTCTCTGGGTCTGTGGAACTGACAAGAGCTCCCGTGGGTCCAGTGATTCGAGCGCACCCTCCTGCAGGGAGTCCCCTGTTCCCCTGCCGCTGAGGACCAAGTCTGGGCCAAGAGAGGGGAAGTGGCGCCCAGGTAGTGTCACTTGCGAGTGGCAGAGCCGGGACATGAGCCCAGTCCTGTTTTCCTGCCAGCCAGGGAAGAAACCTTTGCTCAGACCCCGTGCCTCACTCACCTTCAAGCTCACAGGTGATTAAAAGTGCCCACATGCTTTGAAAAGTAAAAAAGGCCCAGCCAGTAGACGGTCAATAAATGGAGTCATTTTCCTAAAACTGCTTGGCGACACTGACGTAAGAGGACAAGGGCTTTCTCTGGAATCCCTTTGTGCGGTGAGAAAAAAGCCTGACTTGGAGTCGGAAAAGAGGGAAACAGAGAAGCCTGGGCTTGGCGTCCGGACAGACCCGGGCTCTCTGCTGGTGCCCTGGGCCCGGCTGCTCTGAGTCCCAGGGACCCGATCGGCCACACGCCTGGGATCCCAGTCTCAGCGCCCACCCGGCACACGGGAGGGGCACGGGGATGGATATGTGCTGCCTTCCAGTCTGTCCAGGTCAGTCTCTGGTCACTGCCTCCCTCTTTCTCTCCAACAGAGGCTGGACCTGAGCAGGAGCGACAGGAGCCGTGGGATGCCAGTGGCCTTGAAGCTCACCCACCCGTACAACAAGCTCTGGAGCCTGGGCCAGGACGACATGGCCATCCCCAGCAAGCTCCCGGCCAGCTCCCCTGAGAAGCCCTCGTCCCTGCTTGGGAGCTCCCTGGCTCTGCCCCGCAGGCCACCGGCCCAGGACAGCATCCTGAACCCCAGTGACAAGGAGGAGGCGCCCACCCCCACTCCGGGCAGCATTACCATCCCCCGGCCTCAGGGCAGGAAGACCCCGGAGTTGGGCATCGTGCCTCCGCCCCCCACTGCCCGCCCGGCCAAACTTCAGGCGGCCAGCGCCGCCCTCGGGGACTTCTCAGAGCGGCCGCAGGCTGAGTGGGAAAGGCGAGCCCCCCTGAGTCCAGCCCCGTTCCCCGGGCTCCTCCCCAGCGCCGCCCGCCAAGGACCCACCGAACCACTGCAGCCGCTCAGCCTGGCCCCAGGGGCTGCAGGCACAAGTGGTGACGCCCTGCTGGCCCTCCTGGACCCACTTAACACAGCCTGGCCAGGCAGTACCCTTCCACCAGGACCTTCAGCCCCAAATGTAGCCACCTCATTTACACCCCAGTTCAGCTTCCCCCCAACAGGGGCCCCCACCCCATTTCCACAGCCATCGCTCAATCCCTTTGTGCCAACCGTGCCAGCGGCTCTGCCCGCCATGCCCCTGGTCTCCACACCAGCCGGGCCTTTTGGGGCCCCTCCTGCTCCCCTGGGGCCAGCTTTTGCCCCCAGCCTCCTGCTGTCCAGTTCTGGCTTCTGTGTCCCACATAGATCTCAGCCCAACCTGTCTGCCCTCTCCATGCCTAACCTCTTCGGCCAGATGCCCATGGGTGCCCACACCAGTCCCCTGCAGCCCCTGGGCCCCCCAATGGTCGCCCCTTCGAGGATCCGAACATTGCCCCTGGCCCGCTCAAGTGCCAGGGCCGCTGAGGCCAAGCAGGGGCTGGCCCTGAGGCCCGGAGAAGCCCCCCTCCTTCCTCCCAGACCCCCGCAGGGCCTGGAGCCAGCACTGCAGCCCTCTGCTCCTCAAGAGGCCAGAGACCCCTTTGAGGATTTGTTACGGAAAACCAAGCAAGATGTGAGCCCGGCCCCGGCCCCAGGCTCAGTAGAGCAGCTCAGGAAGCAGTGGGAGACCTTCGAGTGAGCCAGGCGCCGAGAGCGAGGGCAAGCCGGGCCACGCGCTGTGCCGCCCGCCGCTGTGCTCCGAGGCTGGCCGGCCCCGCTTCCCCTGCTGTTCTGTTTCCGCCCAGGTTCTGCCGGTGGGAAGGGATGGGTCCCCTCTCTGCCGCCCCTCTTTCCCCTCCACGCCACCCGTCTCTGAGGTCTGGCCGCTAGCAGACGGTGCCAGTTCTGGCCTGGGAATGGACCCAGCTCCTGGGCGCCCACCCCAGTAGCCCTGCCATCACCCCTCCCCTGCACCCTTGATTAGGTTTTGCACTAAAGAGGTCAGCTGGGCGAATGACTGCCCCAGACCAAGTCCTACCCACCGTCCCCGTGGAAACCTCCCGCCGGGAGCCCCAGGGCTCCACAGGGCCTCCCCTCCCCAGCTCTGTTTTCTTGCCCCAGCCGCAGCTCGGCCCTGCACACCCCCGCAGGAACCAGCACAGGCATCGGCGGTGGCCTCGGTGTGAGCTCGTCTATACCAGACACATGTGGTCTGGAGTTTGGAGTAAGGAGCCCCCCTCCCGGGCTGGAGAGCCTGCCTATCTGGAAGGGCATTTACAACCCTCTCTAGCAATACCCTCACTCGTTCGTTCTTTCTTGAGTCTTCACCCAACCCCAACCTTCAGTTGTTTCTGGCTTGGGAGGGATTTGGGGCTGAGGGATCCTTGGGAACCCTCTGACAGCCAAACACAGTCGCAGCCAGCCCTGCGTGGGGGCTGGGAGCACCAGCAACTCTTGATTCGTAGAAGAGAAAATAGCAACAGGTAAACAGTGCATCCGGAGGTGTGGGGCTGCCGTCCTGTGCTCTGCCTCTAGTATGTACTGAAATGGGGCCCAGCTTCTTGTCGCGTGGGACCTCGGGGGAAGAGCTGAGAAGCAGGCGCCCAGATCCCAACTGGGAAGCCAAGCTGAATGCCACAGACTGATGCAAGAGTCCCAGCTGCTGTTCAGGAATGGGCAGGGGCTCTGAGCCCTTCTCCAGGCCCTGGGGGAGTGCATGAACTTGGCTTCTTGCAGCCTGGAGGCCGGAGAAGGGCCAGGAGCCACCCCCTCCCCCGCCCACATAGCGTAGAAATTCCTGAGGCCAATGTCACCAAAGCTAAATTGAAATGTTTTGTTATTGTTTCTTTTATCTATCTTTTCCTTTCTACTTTATTGATTTGACGATTCTTAAAATTGACTAGTTTCAATAAACCGAGTTAAAATACGGCCCAACCATTTAAGAAAACAACCATCTGAGACATGCAGGAAATTGTGAGCATTTTGACCTGATTTCTCATTTCCTATTTGTGAATGGTCAGACACACAGTCTCAGAGGTGTCTGACAGGGCCAGGGGGCTCCTGGAGGCCCCCGGAACCCCAAGGAGCCTTGTCATCGTCTGAGGGACCCTGTGTGGGTCCGTGAGGCCGGGAGGGCTGGCCCGGAGTTTCTCGGACACCAGGTGCGAGGAGCTGCTGGCGCAGAGCCCCTTCCTGAGCCGATCACGGCCCCTTGGGCAAGCCCTCTCTCTCTCTCTCAATCTCTGCGTGTTCTCGGCCCGCTGAGGTGGCGAGGGAGCCACGTGGTGTCTGGGCACATGGGCACCTCCAGGATTCTCAGGTGTTTCCGCACCGGTTCCAGATCCGCCCGCCCGCCCACCCACCGCGGGCGGCCCCCCAAGCCCCGTCGGAGACAAAGTGTGAGATGAGGGATGCTGTGGGGCCCCAGGGAAGCAGAGCCCACCCCGTGGTCGGTCTCCCCGGCTGTGCTGGGGGCTGGTGGCGAGCACTCCATGTTCTCGAGAGCATTGTTGTCTCTTCACTGGCTGGACTGAATTTGCACCCAAGGGTGAATGTTGTGTGTGCGTTCAATAAAATCTTCTTGGGGAGAAGGTTGGTATCCCTGTGTCCTGAGGAAGCTCTGGGGGAAAGGGAGGGCTCAGAGCAGTCAGGGAAGAATTTGACCCCTGGCCCACTCCCCAGCCTCTGTTCCATTTGAGCCTCTGAGACCAGGTCCTTCTCCCTCTGGAGTAGGGCATGGGCAGGGGGTAGTCACAGGCATGCCCAGGCCTGGCCAGTCCTTGGAGCAGGGCTGCAGGTCACTGGTGGTGTTGAAAGTGCCCACGCTCCAGGGAACAAGTTCAAGGGAACAGCAGGAGATTCAGCCCCATAGATCGGTCATTAGCAAGGGCAGAGCCTTAAAAACCAACACCTCTGTTGTGTTGGGGGAGATTGGGACCAAGCACCCAGAGTAGGTATTAAACACACCCAGTCACCCTTCATGTGCCCATCATCTGGTCGTGTCCCCGTCCCTGGGCTGTCCTTGAAAAGGACAAGAGAGGAGGACAACATAGGGCTCCCCAAAAAGTGGCACTTTTATTTATTGGGGTTCCGTGTGTCTTAGGAGTCTGAAAGGACACAGGTTTGTCAAATCCCTGATTTAATAAAGTAACCAAAGCACCAGCTGTGGCTAAGGTGCTGGTACCAGATGTTTCCTCCCCCACCTTCCCAGGAGTCCTAGTGGAGAAGGTTGGGGGAAAGGTCCCACCTCCTACAGGATAAGGACTCATCAAGCCCCTTACCCTAGCGTTCAGGGCCCTTCCTGTCCCAGCCGGCCTCAGCTGAACCCCTCAGTCTGAGCCGCCCACATGCTCCCTTACCCCTCATCACCACGTGGTTCTCCCACAGACTTGATCCTGTGCCTCTGGAACCTGCCTCAGACCCCAAGGGGAGCCGGGGAAAGTCAACTGCCAATCTAAAACTGGGAAGGGGTCCCCTGGCCTTGGCACAGGAGGTGCTGGCCAAGGAAACAGGAGGGACAGAAGGGCATGTCTCCAGGTCAGGGACAAAGGGACTCCGTGGGGCTGGGAGGAGGCCCGGCACTGGGTGCCGGGAGGGCGGGTGCTCCTCTGGGATCAGTGTGATGGCATTACCAGGAAAGGGACCGACTGGAAGGAAAGCAGCACATTCTTCCTCTGTGTCTGTGTCTGTGTCTGCAGGACCAGCCCCGACACAAAGAGGCCATGCCAACATTTGCTGAGTTCAGCAAACAACTCAGAGGACTTCCTGTGAGTCCTGAATCCACCTCCCCCCTGCCCCCCAGCCATTTAGAGAGATGACTGGTCTGTAGGTGAAGGAGTGGCCTCGCCAGGCAGCTGTGACTGGGGAGTGCTGGCCCTGGAGAACCAGAGGTGGTCAGGTGGGACGTGGCGGGCGGGGGAGGGGGGGGGTTGGTGTGGGGGGGAGGCAGAAGTTTTGGTCCTTTATCCTCTGGCCCGCTTGCAGGCCCCCGGGAAAGCCCACCCCCAACTTTCTCTCGGCTCCAGCCAGAGGGACAACCCTTCCTGAAAGCTAAAAGGGTGACCCAAACAACCCAGTAGTGCACACCGTCCCGGGCTCTTTCCCCGCTGTCACCCACTGATCCTCACCACAGCGCCGTGAGGTAGGCGGAGGCCGCAAGGTGGGACGGCTGGGGGCAGCCGGTCCTCTGCTCCCGCAGATCCGCCCTGGCTGTGGTCCGACTCTGCCACACAGCTGCCAGAAGGAGCATTTGTCCTGGGAGCCAGGGGCCGCTGGCTGATGACCACCTTCCTTCTGGTTTCCCAGTTGCCTCCAGGTTGGGGACAGCCTCAGACATGGGAGAAGACGCCAGAGCTGGGGGGGTCTCGGTCCCTGGGCAAGCCTTGGCCTGGCCTCCCGGAGAACACGTACTGCCCCTGCCCCAGGGCTGCGAAGGGTATCCCCGCTGCCCAGCCGCACCTCTGTGGGGCCTGCACCCACTACACGGTGCTGTGCGCCCACAGCAAAGGCACGGACAGGCCCACGAGCCCCATCCAGAACACTCTCACTGGTATCTGCAGATCAGCAGTCCCCAGGTACGTGCCCACACGCACTTCTGAACGCACCGTGTGCACCTGCGTGTGCCCCTCCCCGGCACAGCAGTCCGCCTGCCGGGGCAAGAGCTGGCAGGTCCGATGGAGACGTCCACGGCCTTGCCAGGCCCCGGTCTGCATCCCTGAGTGCTTCCCGCGGTGCTCCCCTCTCCCGTCCACAAATGGGGCGCAGGCAGGGGCTGCCGGCAAAGGTGACACTTGCCCAGCAGGTCTCCCAGGCTCTCCGGCAGCTCCCCAAGGCTGGTAAGAGGCCAGCCACTTCCCCGCAGGCTCCTGGAAGCGGCTTCCTTGGGTCCTCGGTAGACACACCTCGCAGGTGCCAGAGCCCGCAGCCAGGCAGGTCTAGATGAGTCTCTCCTCAGGCGGCACCTTGAGGACACTGTCCATCTCCAGCCGGGCCCCAGCCACCTCCTGCTGGCTCGGGCTGTAGGTGCCCTCTGACTGGCGGCGCTTCCTGGCCACCAGGATCCCTGAGAGGAGGCCCAGGAGGAGGAGGAGGAGGCAGGCGCAGGCCGCGGGCACCGCCACCTCCAGCAGTGGGAACGGCAGTGGCAGCGGCAGGCTCTTCTGCAAGAGACCAAGTCACCAGGCCTGAGACCGGGGAGCAGGAGGGTGCGAGCCTGTGCGTGGGGTTTTACATGACGCTTACAGTGGTCTAACGAAGGGGGAGTGAGGACACTCCCTCGTGTCCCTAAGGACAGGAATCTTTGCTTTATTTTGTTCACCGGTAAATTCCAAGTGCCCAGAGCAAGGCCTGCGTGGTAGCTCTTGGTAAGTACTGAAGGAGAAAACAGGGGCTTTGCCCAGATTCCCCCACACGACTAGCAAGCCAGGACGGCAGTCTCCTCCGTCTGCCCCCAGTGCCCATGCCGTGGCCACACCACCGTCCTTCAGTCTTGAATTCCAGCTGCAGGCCCTTCCTTTAGTGGCCAGAGATGGCCCCTGCCACCCAGCCTCCCAACTCGGCCTCCCCCGCCCTGCAGTAAACTCTTCCAATCTGAGGCCACGGGGACTTGATCCCTCCCCATCCCAAAGGGTGGTCTGGTTTTTTAGAGTCTGTGGAGACCACGCTTAACTCTAAAGTGGGAGGCCTCTCAGGAAGCAGTAAGAGAGGCTCCCCGCCAGGTGGCCTGTGCAGGGCAGGAAGGGGGGGGCAGGCCGACCTAGCTGATGGGGAGCTCAGAATCCACCAGGGTCTGCCCAGCTAGGGAGACTGAGCTTTAGGGAGCCCAGAAGACCTCTCCATCTCCAGTCACAGACTGCCAGGATGCCACCATCAAAGATTCTACGGGCCTGGAATTGTTAACCACCCCCCCCCCC